TGCAAGTAAGTATGTATTATTTATTTTCTTTAAAATATAAAATTACAGTTCTATATAACTAAAATTATATTTATAAATTCAGTTGATATGATATTTAATTACACTGTAATTTTGATAAAAATATTGTGTAAGTAAATATGTATTAGTTATTGGGATTGCCTACACATTTGTCGGGTGATTTTTAACAAGAAATCACCCAGATTTTTTTTACACTTAGATTTATATCCAACGGACTACAAAATAAAATAACTAATACAAATTTACTTATTCAATATTTTTATCAAAATTATAGTGCACTTACATATCATATCAACTAAATTTACATATGTAATTTTAGTTATATAGGACTGTAATTTTATATTTTAAATACTTATATGTCATATCAACTGAATTTACAAATGTAATTTTAGTTATATAGGACTGTAATTTTATATTTTAAAGAAAATAACAAATACATATTTACTTACACTTTATTTTTATAAAAATTACAGTGCACTTACATGTCAAATCAACTGAATTTACAAATGTAATTTTAGTTATATAGGACTGTAATTTTATATTTTAAAGAAAATAACAAATACATATTTACTTACACTTTAGTTTTATCAAAATTACAGTGCACTTACATATCATATCAACTGAATTTACAAATATAGTTTTAGTTACATATAAGTTACAGTGTAATTATATACAAGTTGCAGTGTAATTACACTATGATTTTATTGTAATTACATCTGTCAAATTTCTAGAAAAAAATTTATCAGCAAATATATAAAAAAAATTGAATAGAATAGGTTTCTAGCGATGGTAGATTTGTTAGGCATGGCCGCATGGTGGTGTAATCTAGTGTGGGATCCTAGCTTTGGCTTGGTTCAGATTTACGCACAAGATTCAAGTGCAGAGAAGGTCGTCCCGTCCGGCGATCGTCTCCACTCATCATGCCCAAAGGGACGAGCACAGTGCGAACAAGATCATCCCGACCGGCTGACCACGCATGCAGCCTCCACCATCGTGCGGTCAGCAAATCCGTGAAATCACCGGGAAAAAAATCACACGACAGATTTCTAGCGAAATCGCTAGTTATTTTATTTAAAATATAAAATTACAGTCCTATATAACTAAAATTACATTTGTAAATTCAGTTGATATGATATGTAAGTGCACTGTAATTTTGATAAAAATATTGTGTAAGTAAATATGTATTTATTATTTTCTTTTGTAGTCCGTTGGATATAAATCTAAGGGTAGAAAAAATCTGGGTGATTTTTTACTAGAAATCACCCGACAAATGGATAGACAGTCTCTTTTTTAAAGGCATCGGACGGTGCAAGTTTCATATTAATATAGTGAAAAAAATTTATAAGATTACCACCTTAAGAGACAACAATAAGGAAAAGAAAAAAGAACACCAAAGCAACACCAACACATGTTAACAGCACCTGCACACACTCCCCAAAAAAGGAACTAGCATCGAGTCGGGCCTCTGCTATATGTGACCGGACGCTGCTAGCCCTACGAAGGAGTCACAAACGACCTGCCAAAGCCAATTCCAACCAAAAGATCCCCCACAGGCTCTCAACTATCACCACGTAGAAGGGTTGCCGAAGGAGAGGGCGAGAGAGAGAGAGAAGAATATCAACTCCTACCATGAGCAGACCGAATGGCAACATTTAAGAACGTCGTTGAAGACTGAAAGATCGAACGTTGGACATGCAACAAAAGCGAGATCTCTTAAACGACGCCAGGGTGAACCGGTAGAACATTTGGCCACTTGTTTAAATACCCCCGGTAGCGGCGGGGGAAGGGGGGGGGGGAGTGCATGGAGTTTCGCCTCATCGAAGGGCTCTGCCTCAATGGTTGTGTGGCCACCGCTGTTGTCGGTGATATGGGCCCAGGGGTATCAGGTTTAGAGGGAGGAGGCTGCCCCCCCGATGCCACGTGGCCCTCCCCCGAGGGGAGTCAGGCCTGAGGTGGGGTGGCGGCTACTCTTTCCCCAAAGACTAGTAGGAGAAGCCACCCCCCTCGGGGGAGGGCCACGTGGCATCGGAGGGCAGCCTCCTCCATCCAGTCTCTGGGAAGGAGTGGCCGCCGTTTTACCTCGGGCCTGACTCCCCTCGGGGGAGGGCCACGTGGCATCGGGGGGCAGCCTCCTCCGACTAGTCTTTAGGGAAGGAGTGGCCGCCACCCCACCTCGGGCCCGACTCCCCTCGAGGGAGGGCCACGTGGCATCGGGGGGGGGGGACAGCCTCCTCCCTCTAAACCTGATACCCCCAGGCCCATATCATCGACAGCTGTCGTCGCCTAGGGTTGTCCCCATCACCAAGGTTGGGGAGGGAAGGGTCACCATCACCGCAGCACCACCCTCGCCACCGCCTCGTCTTGGCTGCCGCTCCCTCCTTTGGACCCATACTTTCTACTGCTACTAGCCTACCACCACTGGTACTACCCCATATCTAATGATCGAGCAGGAGGATTGCTTGCTAGACCATCAACCCAAAGGAGGAATAGGGTGAGGCGAAGAAGAAGGGGGAAGGAGGATACTAGCGTCAGCGTCGGCTCTGACGCCACCGTGATGCGAGGGCTGAGGAGGGCGGGACGGAGGCGGTGACCTTGCGGCCGAGGGGGGAGGCCAGGAAGGGGGATCTGATGGTTCGGTTAGATAATAATGCTTTGCAAAAGCACCCTTGTACTCATTATGTTTATAGCGCAAACCCTAAAAACAAATTTTTGTCTTCTTCACATTGTATTTTATAGAACAACAAGGACTGTTTTGAATAAATTACAACAAGATGCCAGGTAGCGGGAGGGCCGCTTCAACAATTTGTGTATTAATCTCTTGTGGTTCCTTTTTTTTCCTCTTCTTATTACAATATTGCTTTTTATGGTTCTCAACTTTGCAAGTGGTGATTTTCACGAGAAAACCAAATTCAAATTGGTTAAGATCATGATTTGGGTTGGTATAGTAGTTATTACATTTGTAATTGTAGTTCGTATATATCTGGTCTTTTATCTTTTTGCTCAAAAAATGAAAAACCCCCATCGTCGAAGCCTTTATGAAATGAATAAATCCCCTTATCAAAACTCTTTGGACTTCTATTGAATAAAAAATGCATTGTACATCCTTTTAATTTTGATACATATAAGATATCCTATGGATAATAATCTGACTTAGGACTATATAACCGATCAATCAAAAATACTCCAAGACAAAGGCAAACCAATAGTTAATAGTGGTAGCGAGTTAGTGACACAAGTGGTTCTATAGAGACGGCCAACACGACCGGTAGCATGTGATACCAATACGGGTTGGTCTAATAATAGACATAATGTTCGCATGTTGGCTAGACACGTGAACATGTATCGGCCTGACCAATGTACATAATAACTTATAGAAATTCTTTATATGGGAGTTCTATGTAAAAATATTTGAATCCAAATCGGACATATAAACTTTCGCTGTATAAGCTGTCGATGCATATAAACTTTAATTAAGTATAGAGTAAATTGCATCGCCGGAACACGAACTTGTCAGGTGGGTACAATCTAGTGCACGAAATTGTAAAACGCTTTTTTGTGCATGAACTTGTCTGGTGCGTGTGGAGGAAGGTAAAAAGGACACTACATGGCTAATCTTATTGATTTAGTGGCTAATTAGGATACTGTGTAAACATATATATGAGAAGGTTACTATTAGATATACACCTCTTCAATAAAAAATAGAATATGATAAAGTGATAGTAGAAAAATTTTAAAAAAGGAGCAATGATATAAATGTTAGAAATATATGAAAACCATCATTTCTATAATGAAGGATAAAGCAGAGATCAAATTTATAAACATTGCATGTGAGCATATCCAACAGCCTCTCTAAATCGTACTCTCCAAACACCCCTATATAGCCAACTCTCCATCTGATTTGGCTAATCAAACTAAATCGTCACTCCAACAGACTCTCTATTAATCCTCTCCAAAATAACAACGGACCCACATGTCAGCCTCTACTACTCTTCTTCCTCTTTATCTCTACCCCCTTCTTCCTTCTCTTTCTTTCTTTTCCCTTTCTTTCCTTCCCATCGTTGGGGAGGCGGCAAGCGGCGGCGCGGTGCGGGGAGGGGAGATGGCAGGCGGCGGCGCGGGGAGGGGAGGCGGCAGGCGGCGGCGCGGCGCGGGGAGGCAGAAGGCGGCGGCGCCTGTGCTCCCTCTCCCCGCCGGATCTAGAGGCGGCCGCTTGCCTTGCCAACCTCTGCTCGACGAGGCGACGGCGGAGCTCGGGGCGGGGATGGCGACGGCGGCGGCGGCTCGCGACGATGACCTCGACGACGACCCGGCGACGACGACTGCGCCAAAGGAATAGCACGTGGGCCCACCGTTTGGAGAGGCGTTTTGGCTGGCCAAATCTAGCCAGCCAGCGAGCGAGTTTGGCCAGCCAGATGGCTTGGCCATCCTGTTGGCCAGTTTGTTGGAGCTCCTTTTTTGTCTTGAATAGCTAAAATTTGGCTTGGATAGGCTAATAGAGAGTTTGTTGGAGATGCTCTTATGAATTTTTACTACATATATACACGTCACATCCTAATTAACATCAACTTCGTAAAATTAACATTCACAAGTTATTTTGGTCCTTGTTCACATGAAGTAGACAAATTCATATACTGAAATGAGCGTTTTACAAGTTTATATACTAAATTGTACCCACCTAACAAGTTTTTATACCACCAATACAATTTTCTTAAGTATATATAAACTTACAGAAAAAGCAGACCACCCGGTTAAAATGCACGGGCGTTCGCACGAGTTTACCGCACGCGAACGTTTTTTAGTTAGCCTTTTTGAGGCGGCACTGAAGTGGATAAAGTTTCAGAATACAGGTAGATTTGAATTTTCATCGAGGAAACCATATACAGTCATCAGCCATCATCTTTTATCAGTTATTGTCCATTTTCCGTTTGAGATGAAGTCATCGACCATGCATCATCTCTGTAATAACTAATACTGATCCAATATGACGAAGGAAACAATATGATCGTATTCAATATGGACTCAATGAGTCATATAGAGTCCACAGCAGGAATTTTGCAGCACAAATGGGTCAGATCGATTGATTGGTCGAGACAGCTGACGATATGCCGAAATGGCAAAAGCCTACGACGTGATAAGAATTAGTTCCTTGGAAGAAGAACGCACCAAGACGTATTCTGTGGGAACACTGCTGAACTGAAAATTCCTGGTCCGATACATGCCAACTTGCACAAAGATGATGAGACCAAGGCCACTGCTGAACTGCAGTAGAGGCAAAAAAAACGAGCGAACAGGGACGAAAGCTACGTATAACAACGCCGATTTGATAGCCGTGATCACCTGCCTTGCCTACCTGGGGTTAGAGACTTTTAGACGAACGGACGTTTAAGAAATTCAGAGTCGATGAAACGAAAAAAGTTGACGGGTTGTCGCTTCAATGCTGTGGCTCCATTTCCGGATCAGGCTGCCAGAGTATACGAGTCACCAATCCACTAAGGCACAATCAGCATCAGAATTTCCATTATTTTTCCCCCTCTCTGATGCGGTCGACTTCGTTGTAGGGCTCGCGAGGGGAACACATAGTTTCCAGTTGTCTCACTCTGAAGTGAGCTTCACGTACAGACAACCAAAAGAGGCCTCCAAATCACTGCATAAAAATAAGCACAATCATTGTGGCTGTGAGTGCATCATCCACTTTAATCGGTTTAATTTCTGAGCAGTAATTAACCTTTCTGTTTTGGGCTCAGCAATTTGGTCCAATGCTAATGGCATTATGGCTAACAGGTTACAGGAGGAGGACTAGTGGCAGCTGCACTCACCTGAAGTCATCTGAAAGCCACTGATGATGTAGGCTTATCTTTAGTAGTACTCGTTTTAATTAGAAAACGTGAGGCGTCTACGCTTGAGCCTGAAGAGACAAAAAGAGACAATGCTTCAGATAAGTTCAGAAATCAGATATGATTTTTTTAGAAAAATGCGCCCATAGGCCATAGAACTCTTCAGTAAGCATGCTGTTTTGCCAATTAAAAGCAAAAGAGGAAGACAACTTCACTTGCAACGCATAACAGAATTGAAGTCAAGGTTTCTTTATGTGACTTTTTTTTTGTTCAGTTAAAGGATGTCCTTCTTTCTATACATATATTCTTGTACTTCTATTGACAAGGACACTACAGACACACAAACAGTAGCTTCCCATATGATTGGTGCAAAAGAACAGGAAAATGACAAACCATGGAACTGTATGAGGATACTGAACTGTAGTACTGGATAGAGAGGTACAGAACTGTTATCCAAAGCAGGTTCAGACTTGATGAGGATGCAGGGATGAGCTGGACAAGAAACTGAACTTTATTGTAACCGGACAGTATACATGAGAGGCACACCTTATGAAATATTTACTCTTATCAAATATCAAGAACTAGAAAAAAAAAGGGTAGAACAGGTATAAATAAGAAAATCTTTGTTAAGAGGGGAGCATGCTGGCCACCACTATAGGAAAATTGATAGCTAGCTAGGCAAAAAAAAAAAAAAAAGAAGTATAGGTTTCTCAAAACAAAAAAAAGTATAGATAGGTGTGCAAACTAGAATATCCTGGTCCACTTCAAACTGCTGATCACTTGCTCTTTCCCCTTGAATTATTGCCACTTGCACACACCCCCAGCTTCTTTTTATAGCAAAGAAGAAGCTACCACAATAGCACAAACCTTGAGAGCAATCCACTCTTTCTTCTACTCCTAATACACACACACAAAGAGAGACAGGAATGGAGAGATCACCTGAAGTGGTGCAACACAAGGCAGCAAACCGAGCTGCCGAGGATGATCACACCACCTCGATTCCATGGCTAAAGCTGGGTGTCGTCGATGCACTGACAGCAGAAGCAGGTAAGCTTCCCGAGTCGAATCCGAAGCCGGCCGTGGCGGCGCCGCATAGAACCTTCTCCTGCAACTACTGCATGAGGAAGTTCTTCAGCTCGCAGGCGCTGGGTGGGCACCAGAACGCCCACAAGAGGGAGAGGTGCGCGCCGAGGAAGTCGCACGGCTTCCAGCAGCAGCATCTCATGGTTGGGCTCTCCCCGACTGCACCGTCGTCGTTTCTTCACCACATGAGGGTTAACCCTCACGCCACGATCCTGAAGGTGAACCGTGGCTATTCTTCTGCTGATGGTGTTGTCGTGGCGAAATTCCATGGAGGCCAGATGAGTAGCAGCTGGGTGCCTTTTGCGGTTGAACATGGTAGAGGGTCAGTCTGGCCTGGGAGCTTCAAAGCAAGCTCTCAGGAGCAGAAGAAGCGCACGGAGGAAGATCTTGACTTGAGCCTGCGGTTATAAGTTTGTAGTGTACAGATAGTTCATTATATATATTTAAGTATGCATTTTGGCAAATATGATCTTCAGTTTTTTTGTCATATGTTTTCTATGGTGAGGTAATTTCAGAAGCGAACAAACTCATGCATGTTGAAGAGGAAAATGTTTGAACTATAGTTAGTCTTTAATATAATGATTGAGAACCATAACAACAATGTTAATATATAGTTGGAACGACAAACGAATGCCAACTTGGATATCAATCTATCATGAAGGAATTCATAATTACGATTATCCATAGGGCATAGGCTACCGTTTTGAATGATTTAGAATATGAAGTTCAACTCATCGATAAAAGCTGTTTCACAGCGAAATTACACGCAAGACACTTGCTCCCGTAGATTGCAGGACACCGGTTGAATTGACCATACAATGGCTGGTAGCTCTATTATTGTGCATGTCATATAGCACCACTGCTAGTTGTGAATTGTGAAGACATGGATTCTAGTGACACTCTGACAGAGGATTCTAATAAAAATGACGCATTCTTTGATTGGTTCATTCAAGAATCTATTCTTCTACTGCTGTGAGGCAAAGTGCATACTGCGCATAGCATTAGAATCCGTTGGTGAAAGCATAAGAACAAGCTGATCGAGTCACAGAGGGACAAGGAATAGGTGAGACATGAGCTCCCACGAAAAATTATCAAATATTTTATCAGGCATTCAGGTCTCAATGTTTCAAAATGGAAGAGCAAGAACAACAATGGAAGATGAGAGCACTGTAACAGTAGCACACAAAAGAGGATAGAATACTAAAATATCAAGGCGTTTATCATTTTTTAAGACAAAAAAATATAGAATACTACTCTTCCGTTTTATACTATAAGTCGTTTAATTTTTTTCTTAGTCAAAGTTTTTTAATTTGATTAAATTTATAAAAAGTTAGCAACATTTACAACACTAAATTAGTTTTATTATACTAAAAAATGAATATATTTTGATAATATGTTTGTTTTGTAAAAAAAATGTTACTTTATTTTTCTATGAATTTGGTCGAAGTTGAAGAAGTTTGTAAAAATAGTCAAACGGATTATAAAATGGAGGGAGTAGAATATTATGGTATTTATCAATTTTTTTTAAGAAGGCGTTTGTTTATCATTTATCTGAACAGCTATCGAAGCTAGAAGCTTGTGCGATAGCTGCAGCAAAGAGAGAGCGAGCTTGAAATAAATGGTGACCGGTCGTAAACATGGGCCGACCTACTCGGCCCAAAGCCCATGTAACTGCAGAAGTTCGAAAGTTTCGAATACGGAGACAAAGGCCCAAGGCGAATCAACTAAAAAAAATTAAAATTTTGAACAAGCAAGTGTTCAAAATGCTGTTATCTATAACTAATATAAATATTCGTATTTTTCCGGTCGTCACGTCTAATTTCATCCGATTTTTCGTCCATATGCAATCTGTCGGAGAATGAACTCCTCCACCAGGGAACCGTGAGGCCCCCCTTTGTGAGTTCGGCCGGAGGCAGCGGGTGAGATTCGAGGGCTTGGTGAGCGGAGCTGTGTGATCTTGAGGGGGGTTAGCCCCCCCAAGACGATGAGAAAAAAGAGGTTTATACAGATTCGGGCCGCTAAGAAGCGTAATACCCTACTCCTGTGCATGATTGATTGAATGTAGAACACAAGTGTTTGGGGTTGCGAGACCCAAGCGCCAGTTCGCTCGGAAGTCCCCCCTCCACCACTAGGCCTGGACCTCCTTTTATACCTCAAGGGGTTACCACATGGGCCCAACAACCTAACCTAGCTCCGGTGGAGAAGTATTATAATCTTTGCATTAAATGCATGTCTTGTCTCTGTGGTTGGCAAGCCAAGCACACGTCGTCTTGATTATGGGGCCTGTCAAATCTTGCCGCCTGACACGAGGGGTGCCCCTGTCAGTCACCATTTAATGGGTGAAGACTTCTGGGCTCCTATTACACCGGGAAACGGGAGTCTTGCTTTGACCAGAGCGGGAGGACTGACTCCGGCTGGGATAAGAGGATAAGAACCTCTCACCATCACTATTTGATGGGACATGTCAGGCTGCACGTCGCCTGACACACGAGCAGCGCACAGGCGCACTAGCCAGTCCCATCGGTCATTTGACCGGTCACAGACCGGTTGAGTGCACTGCACGCCGCATTAAATGTGGCGTGGCGCGACCGCTCGGGACGCCATAAATGCGGGTAAGTGGGCACCTGGAGACGGACATCTAACCCACCGTACGTGGTGACCTAGAGAGGGGGTCGGGGGAGCCCGACCCTAGTCACGGGAGGGGGCGGCCGCCGCCCGACCTCGGGCCCGATCCCCCTCGGGGGGGAGCCACGTGGCGCCTGGGGCGGCCTTCTCCCTCTAGTCTCGGCCAGGGAGTGGCCGCCGCCCTACCTCGGTACCGACCCCCCTCGGGAGAGGGCCACGTGGCATTGGAGGGCAGTCTCCTCCATCCAGTCTCTGGGAAGGAGTGGCCGCCGTCCTACCTCAGGCCTGACTCCCCTCGGGGGAGGGCTACGTGGCATCGGGGGGCAGCCTCCTCCGACTAGTCTTTGGGGAAGGAGTGGCCGCCACCCCACCTCGGGCCTGACTCCTCTCGGGAGAGGGCCACGTGGCATCGGGGGGTAGCCTCCTCCCTCTAAACTTGATACCCCTGGGCCCATATCATCGACAGTAGCCCCCGGCGTTAGCCCTGACCAAAACCTTCCCCAGGTGGTCAGGGTTGACGCCACTTTTCTAGTCTGATGATATGTGGGCCCGATCTCTTATTCTTTCTTTGCTGGCACTAGGACCCATGTGCCTTTTTCATCCCAGCCTGAGGGCGACTCGCTAGCCCGTACCTTAGGTTGTGAACTTATTTTCCTTAGCTCGAAGAGGGCCCCCCACCATGGGTTCCGAACCATCTTGGGAAGCCTGTGACCACTTAGCAAACGAGATCAGGTTCCCACGAGCCTATGTCCCCACGCTACACATTCTGTTTGCTCTTTTCTTTCGGTGGCCTCCTTCCAATCTCTTTTCCTTCTATATGGACAATTACTTTCGCATGAGTGTGAGAGCCGAAAACTCTAGAGCCAGCAATCCCCGTCCACAGTTGAGCCAGGCCGGGTATCGTAGCCAGCCGGCGAGACCAAAGCCAACCGCTACGGAAGAGCCAGCACAGGGGGTCCCGGGCGTCGACGGCACCCGGGGCTCAACTTAAGGCTAGGATAAGGCTAGAAAACTTAGCCCCCACACTTAGCGAAGAATCGTTCATGTACATGGGAGAGAGGTTGGGCTCTTACCACCGAGGGAGCAAACAAATGCGTAACACGCGAGCGTCGCAGGGCCATGAGAAAAGAACAGGGGGAAAATAAATATAAGACTTCAAGCTATATTAAGCTGATGAATTGAAAAACTGAAAATACTTGAAGCTTGAAAGGACGATTAGTTGAGCCGGGCCGGGCACCGTAGCCAGCCAGCGGGACCAAAGCTAGCCGCTACGGAAGAGCCAGCACAGGGGGTTCTGGGCTTCGACGGCACCCGGAGCTCAACTGCAAGAGTCCTCCCAGGAGTAGACCGAGGCAAGTGGCAGGTTCATGAGCGATCCCCGCGCTTGGCCCTGGAGGGAATGGGGAAGAAACTCGCCTTGACCCGGTCGTCACCCCACGCCGCCTCTATGATCGTCGTGCAGATCTGGAGGGACTCGAAGGGGTCGGTGCCATCGTCGTATTTCTCGGTGAGGCAGGGCTGGAGCTTTGGGGGCCCTCGGACATTCCGAAGACTCGCCACAAAGACCTGGTAGCCAAGCTTACCTGGTGGGGATGTGGGGGGCCTTGCCCCCTGCCTGGGGTGGCGCGACACTCCTGAGGATACTGCGCCTTCCCCAGTAGCGGCGGCGCGACACTCACCACGCCGGCGCTCGAAAGAACCTCAAAAATCACGAACGTGTCCCCTACCTGGCGCGCCAGATGTCGGAGAATGAACTCCTCCATCAGGGAACCGTGAGGCCCCCCTTTGTGAGTTCGGCCGGGGGCAGCGGGTGAGATTCGAGGGCTTGGTGAGCAGAGCTGTGTGATCTTGAGGGGGTTAGCCCCCCCAAGACGATGAGACAAAAGAGGTTTATACAGGTTCGGGCCGCTAAGAAGCGTAATGCCCTACTCCTGTGCATGATTGATTGAATGTAGAACACAAGTGCTTGGGGTTGCGAGACCCAAGCGCTAGTTCGCTCGGAAGTTCCCCCTCCACCACTAGGCCTGGCCCTCCTTTTATACCTCAAGGGGTTACCACATGGGCACAACAACCTAACCTAGCTCCGGTGGAGAAGTATTATAATCTTTGCATTAAATGCATGTCTTGTCTCTGTGGTTGGGAAGCTAAGCACACGTCGTCTTGATGATTGGGCCTGTCAAATCTTGCCGCCTGACACGAGGGGTGCCCCTGTCAGTCACCATTTAATGGGTGAAGACTTCTGGGCTCCTATTACACCGGGAAACGGGAGCCTTGCTTTGACCAGAGCGGGAGGACCGACTCCGGCTGGGATAAGAGGATGAGAACCTCTCACCATCACTATTTGATGGGACATGTCAGGCTACACGCCGCCTGACACACGAGCAGCGCACAGGCGCACTAGCCAGTCCCATCGGTCATTCGACCGGTCACAGACCGGTTGAGTGCACTGCACGCCGCACGGCGTGGCGCGACCGCTCGGGACGCCATAAATGCGGGTAGGTGGGCACCTAGAGGCGGACACCTAACCCACCATACGTGGTGACCTAGAGAGGTGGTCGGGGGAGCCCGACCCCTAGTCACGTGAGGGGGCGTCCGCCGCCCGACCTCGGGCCCGATCCCCCCTCGGGGGAGAGCCACGTGGAGCCTGGGGCGGCCTTCTCCCTCTAGTCTCGGCCAGGGAGTGGCCGCCGCCCTATCTCGGGCCCGACCCCCCTCGGGGGAGGGCCACGTGGCATTGGAGTGCAGCCTCCTCCATCCAGTCTCTGGGAAGGAGTGGCCGCCATCCAACCTCGGGCCTGACTCCCCTCGGGGAGGACCATGTGGCATCGGGGGGCAGCCTCCTCTGACTAGTCTTTGGGGAAGGAGTGGCCGCCACCCCACCTCGGGCCTGACTCCTCTCGGGGGAGGGCCACGTGGCATTGGGGGCAGCCTCCTCCCTCTAAACTTGATACCCCGGACCTATATCACCGACATAATCCGATTAGGTTAGCAATAACGATGGAAAAAATTGCAAAAAAAAAAAAAAATCGGCGGCCGCCGACGCCATCACCGCCCGCCTCCACGCCGCCCCTCTCGCCCCGTCGGGCCGCAGCCGCCCCCATGCCACCGGATCTGGAGGAGGCGACGCCTGGCCCGCCGCCTCCACGCCGTCCTGGCCACAGTGCCGCCGGATCTGGCGGAGACGAGGTCCGGCCGGCCGCCTCCACGCCGTCTGGGTCCGACCCGCCACCACCGTCACCGGCCCTCCCGCAGCCGCCGCACAGAGAGAGAGGGGGAGAAGTCTCCTGCCGGCCGCCTCCACGCCGTCCGGCCCACCGCCTCTATGTCGACGCCGCCGGATCCGCTGTGGGAGGAAGGCGAGAGGGGGCGGAGCGAGCTACCGCCGCCGCCGCCACCACCGCGGCCCTCGGCCGTTTCCACCGCCGCCGAAGGGAGAAGAGACGGGAGGGAGAGAGGGAGGTGGAACGTCGCCGCCGATGAGGGGAGGGGAAGGGGAGCGGCGGCGCCGGTTGAGGGAGGGGGAAGGGGAGCGGCGGCGGCAGTGGGGAGGGAGAGGGGGAGCGGCGGAAGGGGAATGGCGTAGCCGGTGGGGAGGGAGAGGGGGAGCGGCGGAGGGGAAAAGGCGCCGCGCGCGCCGCCGATGCAGTCGTGAGAGAGAGAGGGGGGAGGGGAAATGATTTAGGGTTAGGGTTAGGGTTGACGGCTTTTTATACATATGTACGGATCAATCGTGACCGTCGATCAGATCGGACGGCTGCGAATTCTCCCGCATCGGGCTGCCGTTCCCGGGCCGCCACACAATTGGGACATGTGAACGCTTCGCACAGATAAGTTCAGTTTTGGTCCCTCAAGTTGTCCCGGAAACTTACTAAGGCCCTAATCAGTTTATTTTTCAGAGCAACTGATTTAATTTTTAAAAAATCTACAAAAATTTGTTTGGAACTATTTTAAGCCATTTAAAATTGCTAGGAAATTATAATCAATTATTTAATCACTCAATAGATTCAGTAGATTTTTTCATGTCAAAATAATTATTATTTCCTTAAATATTAAATTATTTCTAAAATTCGAACATATTTTATTTCGATACTACAAGGTGCGTGTTTCTTTTCCATTGCTGCCTTTTACCTTTTTCCTTTTGCACTAAAAATTACATATGCCTTTTATCTTTTTTCTTTTGCACTAAAAAGATAAAAACATATAATAATAGAGTGCAACGAAATCCCGTTGTAAAGCAGTCATATTTCATATTTGCTAGTTAAATTAAATAAATTTCAACTTATTTTGGTTGGGTGCGCCAGGCCCGGGCAGCAGTGCAACGCCTGAGCGACGCGCGAGGGCCCCAGTGGCAAGGGCTTGCCACTGTGATGAGCCCTCCCCCACAAATAATAAATTTAATATCGAAGCCCTCCCCCACAAATAATAAATTTAATATCGAAGTGAGCATATGGCCCACACATCAGATATTAGTTAAACTGATGAGAACAGTTAATCTTGTTTAGTTCCCACGTTTAATATTTTCTTTTCGCGAACTAATCACACCCTTAGCCAATAGCCAAATAGCCAAAAGGCTGAGAAAGATATGGGTTACAATGGTGCAACCTCGCCCTATTTTATAGCGTTCCTCCCGCCTGGCTGCGGCTCGAATTGGCGAGGTGGTACTAAAACTAGCGCTGCTTCGCTACTCGCTGCACGCTGCTGCCTGTCCTATTTAGGCTTGTTTGGCCCATCATCCATCACGAAAGCCCATTATATGGCCCATGCGAGGAACGGGAGCCCAGCCGTCTAACGCACTATCGGCCATGGTTGGGTTAGGTTTGGGTTTTGTTCATCGCCACTGCTGTCCATTTTGTTGGTTGCAAATTCAGTCTTTCGATGTGATTTTACTTCAGAATGTCTCCATGCAATTGGCCGGATTAAACACCAGCAATTTATTTTGATCTTTTTTGGAGTGCCAAGAAGAATATGTTAGGAAATAATACATGTTCATATTCACAAAAATTGCGATGCTAATATCGAATCCCGTGGCTTGTTTTCAGTTGTTACTTTTAGCCTAGCAGAAGCAGCAATCATGGATACCAGTACTTGGTTTTTTGGTTGTTATGCCTGATCAGGAGGAGCAAAGTAAAACTGCAGATGAACAGGACAGAGTATCATGAAAGGTCATTACTGTTGTTCTTCAGGTAAGCCAAACTGTATATGCACATCATGCATTCCGGTCAATAAATTATCATCTTTCACAAGAAAATTGACAGAATGCTCTGCACTATCAGAGTTGATATTAGGAGCCTATCACAACACCAGTTATATTGATCATACAATGGCTGATACCTCCACTCTTGTGTATACCATAGTACTGCTGTGACTAGTAATGACATGGATTCTAGTGGCACTGGCGGAGCTCCTGCCTTTCTTTCTTTTTTTCTTTCTTCCTAGCATATAAATGTACCCATGAAAAGGAATGTGAAAGAACGAAATTGTTATTCAGCGACATACTGATGAAAGTGTACACGGAAAGATGAAGAATCCATATTCTTTCATTGCTGAGAATCAAGTGCATAGCATTAAAATCCTCTGCTGAAAGCTGAAGAACAAGCATCCTTTTTTTTTTCTTTTTTCTTTTTTTAAAAAAGAAAGGCATAAGAATAAACAGACCAAAATATGTCACATACTCTTTAAAGCTATCTAGTTTAGATGCTTGGATATTATATGGTTTTTAAATTGTATCGAAGCTAATCAATTAGTAGCAAATATAAAAGAGCTGCGGATTGCAGCGCTATTGTATCCAGGATTTATAAAATCATAGACGGCCATCAAAATGTTATTTATACTTTGTACTAGTATTTATTATCATCAGTATTTATTCTTAAGCTAGTCGTAAATGTTGTTTGCATGAAATGTTCAATTCTGAAACTAACTAGTACAACGTACTTGCTTAAGTACTGTGAAACCTGTGGCCTAAGACTTGGACAATTAGGATCTCCTGATTTAGCATTCATATCTTTGTACTACGTATGTTGTTATTATGATATCTATTCATGAAGATCCATACAGTCAGAATTCTCAATACGTGTAATATTGTTAGAAAAAACTAAAAGTTCATAATCACGCGGCATTGTGTAATACCTTTTCATATTTCCCCTGTTACTAAAGCAATACTAGAGAGAAGGAACAATTTGTCTAAAATAAGATAAGATAGTAACTAAAAAGGAGGGCAACAGGGTAACTCAGTAACAAAGGAACAAATTTATAAATCTCTTCACAAGAATGAAGAATATCACACATTTCCCCTCATTCTTGAAGCTAATTAACATTCAATACAACAACAAGCATAACAACAAAATGATAAAACCATGACGCCTCACATTATACCTGTCAGCTACATGAGAACGCCTAATATTCGAGGATAACTCATCTAGCTGATATTATATAGCAAGCATCATTCAGTTCTTTGCACTGAGATCAGTCATTTTGCACAACGGTACTAGTGTTAGAATCCTTCTTAAAAATCAATTCGTCCCAAACTTCATGTGCATTGCTGAAGTACCGAAATTCTGAAACTTTCAGAGTTTAGCAAGCATGTGGGCCAACTCCTCATCGGTTACCTCAATGTCCTGGTGCTTACTGACGGCCTCCGCAAGTCGGGCTGCTAACTGGTGCTTGCACTGAAGAAAAAAAAAGCAATTAGTCCATGAAAAAGAGATCAACGAACATCTCAATACTCAGTAGTCACGAGCCGATAATTGCAATTGCAATAGCGCGATGAAGAAACAAAAGCAATTACTCCATGAAAAGAGAGATCAACAAGCATTCCAGTACTCAGTAGTCACGAGCTGATAATTGCAACTGCGATAGCACCATATGAAGAAACAAAAGCAACTAGTCCATGAAAAAGAGATCAACAAGCATCTCAATATTCAGTAGCCGCGGGCTGATAGTTGCAATTGTAATAGCGCCATGAAGAAACAAAATTAAAGCAATTACTATGCAAAAGAGATCAACAAGCATTTCAGTAACCAGTCAAAATAAAACAGTAAAAAAAAAGCATTTCAGTACTCAGTACTTCAGTAGTAGCTGATAATTGCAATTGCAATGGTGCCATGTTTCTTTTGTGTTTATAGGTTATCCGTTTCTTGTGTCCATGAAATTCAGTGTGCCTGATTGAAAGATGTACGGATTCAGATGCAGTAACAGCAGCAGGTCAGAATGCCACACTTACGCAGAGCTGCTCGCCGCGGCCGACGATGTCGTAGAAGAAGGAGTAGCAGGTGCAGAGGTGCTCTGGGAAGCAGATGTACTCCTCCTTCCTCCTCGACTCCCCCATCACCTGAATCGCCGAGACGCAAAACCCTAGGTCAGGCAAATCCTCACTCACTCACTTTTGGCTGTGACACGAAGAAGAACAGGAGGAATCGAGAGATGGGGGAGCTGACAAGGAAGAGCGAGCGGCCGCTGGGCGCGCCGGTGACGCGGCGGACGCCGCCCTCGTCGAGGATCTTGCAGGCGCGCACCATGTTCTTGCCGAACAAGGCCTCGAGGCTGTTTCGAAGCAACCGAGGTCAAGGAAGAGGAGGGAGCGAGGCGGCGGGCGCTTGGTTTTACTCACATGGATAGGTGCTCGTCGGAGGCTTGGCCCGCGGACCTGATCTCCGCCCACACCGCGTCGGCGACGGCGAGGGCGACCCCGGCGGTGACGGACATTGCGGCGGCGGTTGCGGTGGCGGTGGCGCGCGCAAGGTGTTCGACGTTTTGACGCAGTGATAGAGGAAGGATGGAGACTTACATGTGGGCTCCACCATGTCAGGGCAGTTCAGTTCATCAAAGAAAATCGAATGCAAAAGCGGACAAAACACGCAAAAATCTTGATTAATTTCTGATTACAAACACTCGAGGTGCCAATCGAAGCTAGATAAAAAAAAATCAAAATCATGTACTTCTATACGCATTTCAATTCTCTGAACAAACATAGTGCCATGATCTACATCATAACCGATGTTATGACAAAAAACATGGAGAATCTAACGCAAGAAACGCTAAGAACAGAGTGGCAATCGGCAGAGAATGCCGTAATCACATCAGCGGTTGTGGAGAGGGTCCGACGAGTTGGGCACTCGCCGCGCGCTGCCACGGACCAGCTGCCCGTCCGTCGCCGGGAACCGCGGCCACCTCCTCGCCCGCACGTCGAGCTTCGCCGCCGCCCCGTCGTCGTCCGGCGGCTTCGCTTCTTCGGCGCCGGCGACGTCGTCACCGCCGTGTCCCCCGACGACCGCCGTCGTCGCGGCGAGCAATGTCAGGAGCAGGACGGCGAGGAGGAGCAGTAGCCTTTGGCTGGCCATCTCCTGCATGGAGGGACAGAGTTTACTGTATCTATCAGAGAAGCTGCACTTGTCTGAATCTTCTAATGCAGAGTAGCAGTATCAGTCTATCTATCAGAACTGAAGTACTACTACCAGTGTACTACTGGTTACTGATTAGAGAGCAGCAGCAGAGAGAGAGTTTTATTACTGGGATGTTTAAGCTTAACAACTTGGCAAAGTGGTGCTCACATTGGCACATTGAAGATTAGTAATGGTGATTAGAGCAACAGTCAAAAAAATTCAAAGGTGAAAAGCCCTTTTCTGCCCTAGTGATGAGGTGTAGGAGCTAATGCACAATCATTTGCCATTTTGTCAACTTTGCACCGCATGACTCGAAAAGACAAACTGCATGCTACTCCTAGCAGTAGCAGTGCCATCTTTGAAAAAAAATCAGAAGCAGAGAAAGAAAGAAACACAGTAGCAGAAGATTCATCATTTCATCTGCTTCTTCTTTCTGTCACATTCTGAAAAACACAAAGAACATATACACGCTAAGCTTCAGAAATTGGCTAGTAACAAACTGATCATATACATTAATCTTCAGAAATTGAGGCATCTGAGTCCCAAATGACGCAACCTTTTTGGCGTGTCATTACTTTTAGAAGGGGGTTAGTTAGTGCAGAATTGGAGGTTAGCGACAGATGATTAGTAGTAATTGGGAGCAGGTGAATTGGCCCGGGAAACAGGGGACACGGCTTTCCACAAGAGAAAGGCCTTGAGCTCCAAAGCCTATGCCCTGCATGCTGCTGCACTGCCATGGCCATTTTGCCCTGCCATTGCCTGCAGCTTCTTTTTTCTCAACTTTTACCGAACCAAACAACCAGCACGGGCAGTTCCTCTGCTTGCTGCACCGAGGGCTCAGCTTTCCATTTGCATCGGGCAGCTAACGCTGGGAGTTGTTTTGTGCACTTGTGCGTGTTGGATTGTGTCCACTGCTGCTGGAGAGCGGAGAGGAGACAGGAACACATGAATGCCTGGTCCTGTCACAAGTTTTGTTTGCTGAATCTTATTATGCTTGTAGTAGTAGTACGTGATTAGAGTGACGGTATGTCACTGTTGCATTATCAGTGGAGATAATGCATTGAGAATCACTGGGGTTTTCAGCTTGCCAATGCTGCATTATCTTCTTTTTCTTTTTTGAAACACATAAACTTTTATAAAGCAAGGACAAAGTTGATGGGATTAAATCCCGTTACATCGCCGAATGATAAGAACTGAGAGCAAAGAGCCATCCTTATTGAAATGAAGGTTAACTAAGTGTCCTTCCTAATGAAACCGAACAACAGTAAAACGGCAGATCAGGGAGCTACGGTATTGCAAAGTTTGGGTCTCCTTTGAACTACACTCCACTTGATAGACCGATAATTCTTTTGGGCTGCCTCCAACGGAAACAACACAAAAGTATACGTGATCAAAGAAAAAACCAATGCTATTGGAAAACGAGAGAGAGAAGAAAAGTGTACTCCCTCCATCCGATTTTAAGCGCAGTTGTGAATTTCCATATCCAACATTTGATCTTATTTGAGATTTTTTAGACTAGTATTTTTATTGTTATTAGATGATAAAATATGAGTAATATTTTATGTGTAACTTGTTTTTTAAAAAAATTTAAATAAGACGGACGATCAAAGATTGAACACGGAAATTTGAAACTAGACTTAAGATGAGACGGAGGGAGTAGTAGCACAGTTCAAGGTAGTATCAGCCCAAGTCCAGCCTGGCATGATACTGGGCTTCCTTTCTTCCTGTAAGGTCTGCATATTGGGCCAGGCCCATCCCATCCATGGCCCAACTTAAGCCCATCTCGAAATGCGCGTTCACCTTCCGGAGATCTTCTAGAAGCGAAGCGAACCAAATCGAACCCCACCCTCCAAGTCTCCGACCGGCACAGCCTCTTTTCTCTCTCTCGGTCTCTCCCCTCTCCACGCCACAGATCTCTCCCCTCTCCATCTCCCACTTACCCGCAGCCATGGCGGAGGACGCCCCCAGCGCCGCCGCCGCCGAGGGGAGCCAGCACGCGTCGGCCGCGGAGGGAGGCTCCGCCGCCGCCGCAGCTTCCGCGGCACCAGCCGCCAAGGCCGCGGAGGCGCTGCTCCCGTCGCTCAGCATCTGGCCCCCGTCGCAGCGCACGCGGGACGCCGTGGTGCGCCGCCTCGTGCAGACGCTGGTCGCGCCCAGCATCCTCTCCCAGCGCTACGGGGCCGTCCCGGAGGCCGAGGCCGGGCGCGCCGCCGCCGCGGTCGAGGCCGAGGCCTACGCCGCCGTCACCGAGTCGTCGTCCGCCGCCGCCGCCCCGGCCTCCGTCGAGGACGGGATCGAGGTGCTGCAGGCGTACTCCAAGGAGGTCAGCCGCCGCCTCCTCGAGCTCGCCAAGTCCCGCGCCGCTCCGTCTCCGGCAGCGGCGGCGCCCGCGGAGGGGGCCGCGTCCGAGTCGGAGGCTGCTGCTGCTCCTGCTCCAGCGGAGGAGTAAGGTGTTTGGTTTGGCCCTGCGCTTAGATCCACCAAAGAACTGCTGCTATTTTGGCATTTCCTTGGAGATTATTCATGATTTCCTCCGCTTATGATCACTAGTACCTTTATATAAGTATTAGGAATGTGTGCTTGAGATGATGAATTGATGTTTGTTACTTGAACCTGGTACCTTGTTACAAATGTTTAAGCTATATCATAGGTGCATGTTTGCCCTCGCATATGTGATATGTATAAGGCTATTCTTGAATCTGTTTGTGCATGGTTGCATGAGCTCATATGTTCTGATTATTTAGCTGAATGCAGTTGAAATGTAATACTAGTGGTTCCAGAGTTCCAGGAGTATGCAGTATTATTGTGCATTTAATTTAAACCTGGGTACTTGAACTCTGCCAGTTCTTACTTCTTACTATGATTTGGTTTGGTATCTGGATCTGTAGTTGTAGACTGGTAGCAGAAGAAAGGGAACTACCTAGTTCAATCTTAATGATCTAAACAGGCCTATGAAATCTTATAACAAGTTACGTGGTCCTTCATAAATTGGAAGAGGTGTTTATCGAAGTTGATTCAACGAGCATTGGATGTTAAGCTATGCAGCGGGTGGCATTTCAATGAAGAATATCAAACTGCAAGGACATGAAGGCATAGTACATTTCTCTCTCCAGGGGATTGTTACTCTCATTTGCAAAGTTAGATTACATAATGAGGATTTGAAATTATAAGACAGTTTTGGGCTTATGGTTTGTCCTGGATGAAAACTACAGTTTGCCATCTCTTTTTTTTTACCCTCTGCTATTCTTTTCACCCATTTTTGTGCTGTCTGAAATGTGGAACGTACCACCAGCAAAATGAATTTCACCACATGGACCTAGATTGCATTACTAGATTGGAAAAGGAACCAATTCTGTGGGCCTGACTATCTGTTATGAATTTCAGCTAGAGTCCATAAAGCACAATGGTATTTATTCTGCTTGTATTTACTTTGGATGATCTGAGTTAAATTACTTGATATTATGAATTTTCCCTGTCTGTAGGAGTGTAGGGTATCCATTTTCATGATATTCTGATAGACTTTCAAGCAGTTGCATTGCTTAAAGAATTGTTTGCTGCAATGGGACTAGTATGTAGTATCAGCACCTGTAAATACTGATGATGGCTACATCTTATTTGCATGCACTGCTTATATTTACTTGAAGGTCCATTCTTTCATTGTACTACCTGCCTACCTGGTGCTGTGTCATATTCATGAAGAACATGGTATTTGAAAAGAAGAAAGAAAAAAAGGAAAAGGAAAAATGCCAGCAGTCATGTCGAAGTTGTTCTCACTTCACATGTTTGGTAGCTCAAATAGCTGTGTGCGTTCTTTTGGTTTGGCTATTTTTAGATTTATGCAGTGCATATATATATATATTACTCTGAAAAACACATTTTTGGTCACATCTGTCCTTCAGTCACCAATCTCTCATTGCTCATTTAAAGGTGCTGATCTGGATGCCTGAAGGCCTCTAAAAGTTCTCAGCTGTGCTGAGCAAGATATAACACTTGAAATCTTCAGTTGTTATGTTGTGTTGAATGGCATTCCGGTCATTTCTGCCATGTTTTTCCACAAGTGTGAGCTCATGATAAAACAAGACAATTGCATATTTGCATTAGCTATTCCACTTACTGCAGTGGTTACCTCCGTGGTAACTCTCAAAGGGCTTGTTATTACCTCATAAAGGGATTAAATGAAATAAGCCTGTATTAGGCACATAACTACCATCTACTCCCTTCATTTCAAAATATAGCAACTTAGGATATGTCCTAACCAATTTTATTCTAGGTTATTATATATGGGGACGAAAAGAGTACTTAGTACTTCACGTGGATGGAGAATAGTGCGTTTGGATGTTGCAACCTGTTTATTCCTAGTATTGGGTGTTCGTGTTGTAGACGCTTGGCGTGACTGTTTATTTCCCGAGTTATTATATTGTATTTTTTCTGCTTTATCCATAAAATACGAATATATAGCTCTATTTTTTTAGGGAGTATTTTGGGGGAGGGAGTATCTCCCGGTGACCGTGAACGAAAACCAAATTGGTCGACTCTTCTGTCGCTGTTACTAATCATTAGAGGTGACAGTTCAGGTGTTACTTTAGATTTCAGCGGAGCCACCGTTTCGCTTATTTTAGCGAAACGACATATTTATAAACGGAAAGTAATTTGTAAATAAAACTTTTATATATGTGTTCTCAGCGATCTAAAAATAAAGACTGAAAAATAAACTTCGATGAAAAAAACCTTAAAATCAGCTTTAAATTTAAAGTTAAAAATTCAAATTTTGAATGATAAGCATAAGCATAAACGAAGATAGTCCATCACCCAGATTCCATTGCCGGAGCTAAGCACACGTGGGAAAAGGCGTCGTCCTCCAAACAAGCAAAAAAAAAAGAAAGTGGTCCACGTGGACTGAAGCCATTGGCCAGGTGCCCTCATCGATCAATCGCAAAATGCCTCAGGCCTAAGAAATCTCTAATCCTGGTCCTAAACTTCACGAGCAAGTCACTCGGCATCCCGGAAGATTCCAGTAGGCGCGGACACACCAACGCAACCGTCGCCAACGCCGCCGCCTCCGCCCGGCTCGGGTCGGAAACTCGGAACCCGGCGCGTCCGATCGAAGCTTCCGACCTCCTCGCCCGCGCCGACCCGGCCACGTCACCACCACCCGGTGCAATAAGACCCTGGTCGGCGAGCGAGTTCGAGGCAAACGGCGCCCCCATTCGAAAATCAAAATCTCTTCCTCGCCTCTCTCTCTGCTCTCTGCTCTCCTCGCCTTCCTCTCTCGCCAGTTGCTCCGCGTCCTCGCTCGAGTGCGCGGCGATCCATCCGGGAGGGAGAGGTGCGTGCGCTCTGATCGCTCGGGAAACCGTCGTCCTGCTCGATCGCGCTGGTTGATCGCGATTCGCCGCAGCGGCATTCCGCGCGAGTAGTTCGATTAACTTTTTTTTTGGGTGCTTTGTTTTGCTCTTGCAGACGGTGACGGCGCGGGTTGAAGTTGAACTCAGCGGCGGGTGGGATGGTTTCCTTCGAGATGAGTGAACTCAAGAGTACGCGACTCGACAACCACCCTCCTCCTCCTCCTCTTCTCCCTTTGATTTTTCGCGCGATTTGTGAGCGGTTTGGTGTAGGATTTGGCCCGCGTTTGCGTCGCTTTCCGTTTTTTTCCCGTGCGATTTATGAACCGTTTGGTGGGAGATGGGAACGTAGTACTCCAGTATTTGCTTTCACGTTTTCCCGCTGTTCTCTACGAGTTGTTTGGTGGAAGATGCATATGCCGCGTGTCTCCTTGTAGCTTTGCGTGCTCGATCATGCGCTAATCTGTTCCCCTGTCGATAGCCTTGCGAAATGCTGTCATTTTTGCAGCATGATTGGTCGTGTTTGATAGTTTAAAATGCTGAAAAAAAAAAACTATGTCCGATCGAATCTGTGACTCCTGGGTTCAAATCACCGGTAATCGGTGTTTGTTTGGTGAGACAAACCTCGCCAAATTTCCGGAGTTTCGCTTCAAGTTTTGTTTACAAACATAATGTCCTTGGTTACTGTGGACTGTGGTGAATTTTCCATTACTGTTTTTTTTAAGTAGAAGCAATTTGTTGTGCTACTATTGTATATGGCAAATAATTAGCACTGCCTCTCTGCACACCGAAGTTAAATTTCTGAGCAAATAAGTTCCGGTTAGCAACTTGAAATCTATTCAGGTTGGGAAAGTTTCAGGTGTCGATATTTTCAGAACTAGATGAAATTTCGGTCATGGTCGTCCATAGCTGAGATAGCATATTGTCAGTTTATCATTTCATATGTTTTATATCAAATTCGCAACGCGTCATGTTTTTGAACAGGAGGTCCATCTAATAGTAGCTAAATAATACAATACACGTTCTTCAATTTACCTGCCTAATTTAACTTTTTACATTTTTTTCTTGCAACTGTGAGGTATTGACGTATTGTACAATGTGTATGCATCTCACTAGCTCAACCATTTCATCACTTTTGTTTTCAACAGAGATTGGGCTGGGCTTATCTGGGTTCGGAGTTCTGTTCTCGTTTCTTGGGATCATCATGCTGTTTGACAAGGGGTTCCTTGCAATAGGAAACGTAAGATTCACTTTCCTGAATGGCTGAATCCTGATTGATGCTTCACTGTAACCTCATCCTGATCACTAATTGGTGTGCGTATGCCATGTTGCAGATTCTGTTTGTGTCTGGTGTTTCACTGACCATTGGACCGAAGTCAACCGTGCAGTTCTTCACCAAGCCTAAGAATCACAAGGTCTGTACCATTGCAAACTCCATTCATCATGAAGACTGTGCTATTTCAGTTCCCAGTTCTATTAGAGGTCCATTATGATATGAAAAATCTACCTCATTGTACAGGGCTCGATTGCTTTTGGAATTGGCTTCTTCCTGGTCCTTATTGGTTGGCCGTTCTTTGGCATGCTGGCAGAGGCATACGGCTTCGTCAAGCTCTTCAGGTCAGTAAACTCTATGGTGTTTCCATTCTGAAACATGATCATAATAATCACCTGTCTCTAGGTCATGTGCATTGTGAAATGGAACACCTGGAGTCTGTATCCGAATCTGACTGTGTGTGCTTCTGAATTTTCATCACAGAGGCTTCTGGCCAACTGCTGCTGTTTACCTGCAAAAGAGCCCCACCTTCGGTTGGATATTCCACCACCCTCTTGTGACTTCGGTACGGCTATAAGTCACCACCGGATGTGCTTAAACTCCCTGCTTGTCGTCGTAGATTCATAGTCTCTGTTCTTATGGTTGTTCCTGTTTACAAATTTGCAGCTGATCACTAGGTTCAGGGGAAGACGAGTCCCGGTGTGATCGTCGCTTTGCTGCTGGAGCTGGATCACTCCAAGGGATGCCGGGTCACCTCCAAAGAAACTTAGAGCGATACATGCGGTTTTTTCTGGTTAGCTTGTGATTCGTTGGTGCTGCTGGTATGTGAATCTTGTGTCTCTGCTACCAGTACCCTGCCTCAAAGACCTCGTTACTACGCTCGCCAGTTGCCCAGTTGTTCGTAGAAACTAGAAAGACTTTCTTGCTTGTTAATGGGTAGAGAGGGTAGTCATCGTACATATGGCTATGCTCATTGCACGATTGGTTGATTGCTAGTAATTGATTTGTAGGTCATCCTACGGGAATATTACTGAGTAGCAAAAGCTTTCAGTTCCGGTGCTACGTATGACGTTCATGTTTTTACCTTATGACGTTCATATTTTTACTGTTCATGTTTTTACCAAATGACTTTTAGTAGAATCATATTTTTACCATATGACTTTCAGTAGAATCAATCTGACTTACCGTTCATTTTTTTACTGTATGACGTTCTAGAATCCTTCGAGTTTCTATTTTTCTACGCAAATAATTCGATCTTTTCTGCATGAATCTTTTGTCGCACAGAACAACTATAATAGTATAATTGAGAAACAATAGAGTGAAATATCACAAAATGAACAAGGTAAACTAAGAAATCAAAAATCAACTAATCCATCAGCACCACAACGTATATAGGATAATAGGATACTGACATCAGTGGAAAGCAGAATGTATCAGTTTCAGAAAGACCTGAGTTCCTACGTGTTCAGGCTTCTGAATGCTAAACCAATCTTCCTCGACCAGTTCCTTGGCCATACCGTGCTAAAAAATGATTCCCTTGGCCATACCAATTTGCTCCTTATTACACCAATATCAACTATAGTTGGTAAAGAAGAGTAAAATGCCACAAAATGAACAAGGTAAACTACGAAACCAAAGTCAGCTAAACCATCAGCGTCGCTGGGGAATTTGAATGACGCATACAGAATTGAGGAAAAAAAATATTAAAATATACCTTTCTCCTATGATTTTATAGGAATATACTTATTTTTGAAGGTGATTATTTTGCATCCTAATAGTAATATATAGAGAAAAACGTGCATTGCACGTATATGTACTAGTATACTCATGATTTTACAGCCTGACTTGAAAACCGTGCCATGAACCAAAAATAACTAGCAAACAACAGTGCAACACATGTTGACACGAGATAGATTATCACTTTCAACCACATATGACTCGTTCTTCCAGCACACGTCGCGCCTATGGCTTCTCCTGCAAACATAAAAGGAACATAGACGAGTAGGAAATACCACCACTCCTACAAACAGACAAAAAAAAATAATGTCATGAAGTTTGGCCACGCATAAATTAGATAACCTTTGTGTATTTGTAATTTGTAAATTAAAGATTCGGAAAATTTATTTTATTTATTTTGTAAAGGATGTGCAGTAATGGCGTTTATTATACTGTAAAGGTTCATAAATTTCATTTATTTATCGTATATTTTGTATAACAAGACCACAAATCGAAGTGATTAACTTTTCCATATTATTAGTTAGCAGAAGTGCTAAACAAAGATTAATTAGTGATTAATCTTTCATTAATTACTATCTCAACAACAATTTAAAGGACGTACCTTGGGCTTATAAAAGGACTTTTTAACGCAAGCAATCCTCGCCACCTTGAATTGCTGCTCATCGGCGAAGTAGGCCGCCGTGTCGACGTTGAACCAGAAGTTGTCCACTCTACCCTGTCTAGTTATCATGGACGGTGATGATGGCAGCTCAGCGAGGATATCGGCGCCGTTGATGCAGTGCCCCTTGATGACGACGACGAGAGGACAGGGGGCTCTGCACACGTGACAGCGCCTGTCCTCGCTGACGAAGCGGACCTGGACAATGCATCTCGCGCAAACACAGCGGTGGCCGCATGGCCCGATCGCCACCCACTCTAATGGCTCCACACACACCGCGCAGCAGTTGGTAGTAGTAGCAGCAGTGCCGCCGCGGGCTACGTCTTGGAGCTCGATGTCGACGACGACATGGCACACTGCCTTGGTGCTCATAGTATTGGGTGGTTGTTTCACGTGGTATATGTTGGATCGAACACAAGTAACCAAGTCTATGAGAGAGATGTTGAATGGTAGATTACATCAGCGGAAGTCAAATAATTGAATCTTAATAGATCAAAACACACCCCAACCTTAAAAACCAATGGAACACACGTAATCCAGTCTATCTGTGGAGATTATGGGTACCCCATACCCACACGGCATGGTTATCCGACTAGTTATAGGGGATAACTTATATATATGAAATATGTAACAGATCATGACTTGGGTATTACGTTTCCTTGTATATTACGGAACGGCCTAAAGTCCTGGTTTGATAAGATTGTAAAGTAGAGTTAGGAAACCGATACCGTATTGGATAAGGTTTCTATCTTGTAATCCTGCCCCCCATTCTATATAAGGTGGGCAGGAGGCCCTCTAGAGGGCATGAGACAACCTGATCGTCAGATCTATACTACACCCGGCGGATTCAAATCCCCAAACAGGAGTAGGGTATTACCTCTCATTGAGAGGGCCTGAACCTGTCTAAATCCTTTGTCTCTGCATCCATCCACTTTAGGTCTCGTACGCTACCCCCTTTTATTATTGCCGAATTCATGTTTCGACAGTTGGCGCGCCAGGTAGGGGTTGCGTCGAGTTTCCTATCAACGAGCGCGATGGAATCAATTTCATGAGTCGCCGACTTCGCTTTCGCTTTGGGAGTTTTCACTTCCTTTCCGTCGACCACTTCTTCAAGCTCCTCTTCTCTGACTTGATCCAAATCAGTCAGGGGGAAACTCAATCTGATTTTTATCATTATTTATCATATTGATTTTTAATCTCAGATTAATTTCTTGCTATTTTTTGTTGTTGTTCGCATATAACTACGCGGCACTATTGAGGCGATTGATGCTGGTCATGGACTCGAGGCGTCTCAGCTTTCCGGTCGATCGGCCGCGAGTCCACTCCGCCGGCTTGTCCTCGCCACCGCCATTGCTGATAGCAACAACGACTTCACCGCCGGCCTACCTCCGTCGCCGCCGACTGGTGTCATCGCCTATACGGTTGGTCGGTCACACCACCGTTCATGGGCGTCCATGTCTTCACCGACCGGCTGGCCTTCGCCGCCGCCGACTGGTGTTTCCGCCTGCACGGCTGGCCTATTATGCCGCCGCTGTTGGGCGTCTACGACTTCACCACCGGCCTGCCTCCGTCGCCGCCGACTGGTGTCCTCGCCTATACGGTCGGTTGGTCACACTACCGTTGATGGGCATCGTCATCTACACCGCCGGCCTGCCTCCGTCGCCGCCGACTGGTGTCCCCGCCTATACGGTCGGTTGGTCACACCACCGTTGATGGGCATCGTCATCTACACCGCCGGCCTGCCTCCGTCGCCGCCGAGTGGTGCCTCCGCCTACACAGCTGGCCTATTATGCCGCCGCTGTTGGGCGTCTACGACTTCACCGCCGGCCTGCCTCCATCGCCGCCGAGTGGTGCCTCCGCCTACACGGCTGGCCTATTATGCCGCCGCTGTTGGGCGTCTACGACTTCACCGCCGGCCTGCCTCCGTCGCCGCCGAGTGGTGCCTCCGCCTACACGGCTGGCCTATTATGCCGCCGCTGTTGGGCGTCTACGACTTCACCGCCGGCCTGCCTCCGTCGCCGCCGAGTGGTGCCTCCGCCTACACGGCTGGCCTATTATGCCGCCGTTGTTGGATGTCTACATCCTCACCGTTGGCTCACCTTCGCTGCCGTCGACTGGTGTTTCCGCTTACACGGCTGACCTATTATGCCGCCATTAGTGGGCATCTTCGCTTTCACCGTCGACCGCCTTCGTCGCCGCCGACTGGTGTCTTCATTGTTATTGATGGACGACTTTGTTCCCACATTGGCCACTTCCGCCATCACCAAGGGGAATATTACAAAGCTAAGTCATCATTTATTTTATTCTTTATATGATATTTTTCCTTTTCCTCTGCCTCACTACACCAATTGGTCTTCCATTGAGTAGTGAGTCGGGGGCTACAGATGTTATATCATATTTTTTATAATATTTATCTTGATTGCTTGCGACATAATCTGAGTACAAAAGTACCTATCGAGTTATGGAGTTCTATCTTCCTATGCTTTCCGTTTGGTTTGCCAATGGATGGTTGCCTTTGGGCCGATTCCTAGCACCCGGGGGCTCGTTGGATGGACCGAGTAACGCAAGGTGCTAAGTATTATTCGGAATAAATCAAAAGCATAGAGATGAGATAAATTTATTTTCTGCTCTTAATAATTGCAAAAGTACCCGAGTAGTAAACTCCGATCCGTGAAACTTTGTTCCATTAATGACGAACTCATGTCACTCATATGCATGTTTGGGAAGTGCTTAGGCCGACTCCCAGTGCTTGGTGGCTATGACTAGTTGGGCAGAGCGTTTAAACGTAATGAGTCAACTGCTCGGGGAAATCAAAATTGACAAGAGGAGAAATACATATTTATAAATATTTTAAAATACTTGATTTTTTCTCGAGTATTATATTTATATCAGATACTACTCATCCTATATGTTTGTTCTGCAGGATCCAGATCCAGATATGCATAAAAGGGATTCATGGCTTTAAGCTTATCTCTTACGCTCTAGGAATGGATCAGTCAGAACATCACCACCGGCCGCCTCGTCCGCCGCCGACTGGTGTTTTCGCCTGCACGGTTGGCCTATTATGCCGCCGTTGTTGGGCGTCTACGTCTTCACCGACCGGCCGCCTCGTCCGCCGCCGACTGGTGTTTTCGCCTGCACGGCTGGCCTTTATGCCGCTGTTGTTGGGCGTCTACGTCTTCACCGACCGGCTTGCCTTCGCCGCCGCCGACTGGTGTTTCCGCCTGCACGGCTGGCCTTTATGCCGCCGTTGTTGGGCGTCTACGTCTTCACCGACCGGCTTGCCTTCGCCGCCACCGACTGGTGTTTCCGCCTGCACGGCTGGCCTTTATGCCGCCGTTGTTGGGCGTCTACGTCTTCACCGACCGGCCGCCTCGTCCGCCGCCGACTGGTGTTTCCGCCTGCACGGCTGGCCTATTATGCCGCCGTTGTTGGGCGTCTACGTCTTCACCGACCGGCCGCCTCGTCCGCCGCCGACTGGTGTTTTCGCCTGCACGGCTGGCCTTTATGCCGCTGTTGTTGGGCGTCTACGTCTTCACCGACCGGCTTGCCTTTGCCGCCGCCGACTGGTGTTTCCGCCTGCACGGCTGGCCTTTATGACCGCTGTTGTTGGGCGTCCACGTCTTCACCGACCGGCTTGCCTTCGCCGCCGCCGACTGGTGTTTCCGCCAGCACGGCTGGCCTATTATGCCGCCGTTGTTGGGCGTCTACGTCTTCACCGACCGGCCGCCTCGTCCGCCGCCGACTGGTGTTTCCGCCTG